GACGGTGGCATCAAAAACGAGTGGACTCACAATGGAGTGTTAGTAGCTGGACTGAGTTTGCCAAGGCGTTGTGTAGGCAATGGGACAGAAGAAGCCGCTACATATTAACCGACCGGATTGTGCACGGGGCTAGACCAAGTATTCAATACATGACTTGGTTTAGGTCTGTCACAACATCTGAGCAATTTCTGTCCCAGCCAACGTATTTGGTTGATCCAAGGCAACGAGCTTCAACGTCAACCACACAACAAAATCAACCTTCTGAAAACCTTTACATGCCTACCACCCAGTCCCAGCCTGACCATTATAGCCCAGACAACTCTTTCAACCCTACCCCCTACAACTACCCATCCAACCACCCCTCCAACTACCCCTCCAACTATCCCTCCAACTACCCATTATTCGACTACGAAACCCCACAACAGCCCACACAACCATCCCAACCCAATTCAATGTACGCCTTCGGACAACCATACCGTCCATACTCCACCCAACCTGCCAGACACTCATTCGAAAACATGGGCGTCGGGCTTGATTACGGAAGCGCAGTTAACAGTGGACCTTCCGGTTATTGGGGCCAAATGATGCAAAATCTCTATGATATCCCGGGGCCCTCCCAGCAAAACCCTCCTCCAAATGCCAACACACAACGACCAGAAACACCGCAGCAACCTAGTCGTCGACCTCGTCGCAACGCACAACCCCCCCGGTGTGGCACTGGTGGTCACTTAGATAGAGCCGGACAATAATTATATTGTAATTTTCATTTTATCGTAATGTTCAATATTTTGTAACTTTAATTAGGAAGTCAATCAAATTTAATTTTAAATTTCTATGTTTAATCATATATTTTTTTACATTTCAACTTTATATTAATAATTATTTTGAATCAAATTTAACTTTATTTAAATAATTTCTACTTAAAATATATTAAAATATTAAATAATTAATTAACATGGTTATTTTAAAAAAAAATTCAAAATAATAATCAAAATATTTTATATTTTAAAACTTAAATTAAAATTATAACTTATATTAAAGTTAAAATTAAAATTAAACTTTAAAAATAAAACTTAAATTAAAATTAAACTTATATTATAAATTAATTATATTATAAATTAATATATTAAACTTAAATTAGTAATAATAATAATTAAAAACAAATAAATTTTTAAACTTTAAAAATATGAAATCATAATATAAAAAGAAAAAAAAAACAAAAAATAAAGTTATACTAATTCGCCAAATGATGTGGCGAGTTTGTTATGGTTTGGCTAATTCGCCAATTCATGTGGCGAGTTTGTTATGGTTTGGCTAATTCGCCAATTCATCTGGCGAATCTGTTGAAATCGGATTTGCCTAATTCGCCAATTCATCTGGCGAATGACTGCTTCCACCTTTCAAAACCTTGCCATTTTCGTAAATTAATTGAAACATTATTTTGTTTGGTAAATAAAAATTATAACATTGCTACTTTAAAAAAAAATTCAAAATATGTTTATGTCTTAATGATTATATATTGGAAGAAATAAAATTGAAGAGTATGATGAGTCTCTTGGTGTGGGGTATTACACATCAAAATGAATGATGTTGATTCTAAATGTGATATGAGCGACAAGGGTCCGATTGCGAGGTAGTGCTATGGCTATTTTCACACTCGAATGATTATTTGCAATGGAAAAAGATTAGATCTTTGTTTCTTGATTTTGACAATGTGCCAAAAATCCATATGTTTGGTCTTTCTACATAAGGAATGAACGTAGCAAACATAGATCATGGACTCATTCTGCTTACAATATACAACTTGTGGAGATTATTTTAGGTAAAATATTAGTTCTTTCTTCCGTTCCACAATGAGTGATCAAGTTGGCTTTTTTACGCAGATTAAAAAAAGAAATAAATGAATGAGAGAGAATGATATTTTTACTAAGGTACTTTTATCATGTATTGAGAATGATGACTTTAATATTAATTAAAGTGTAAAATTAAAAAAGATATATTAGAAATTGAAATGGATGATTTATTTTTGGACACTCTTTTATTTTAAATGAGTTACTCATTGTGAGATGGAAGTAGTTAATATATATTTTTCGATTTACATTAAAATGAGTATCAAAATGCCAACTAATGTTTTATCTTAATTGTATGGATTGATATTGACAGATCCATAAACCAAGATGTTGCAACCAAAAGGTTCCAGTTTCAACTTGAATTTGTTCAACAATTGGTTTTGAAGGCAGCACTGCAAAGCTAGAATTGTAATATTAAGGTGGAATGATTTTTGTTCGTTGGATAAAAGCCGAACAAAAATATCATTACCCTATTATGACACAAACTTAAAACATATATATTGTTTCATGAACATTTTATTTTATCAAATAGAAGTGGTGAGAATGACACACTCTAAATGTGGGAAAAAAAATAGATAATTGCATGATCGAACTTGAGCCTTTTAACACATTAAATATCCTACTAGCTGAATAAGCCATGGATTCTTCCCATTATAAGTTGTTTAGATCATGCAAACATTTATTTTTAGTTATAAAAGTTACAATATACAATATCTAAGTAGTGAGTTCACATTTCGTATTCATTTTTAGTCCCAAAATTTGTTCTTAATGTACAGAAACTAAATTTGAACTTCTAATTAGCTGAACTCCATTTGACATTTCATATTATTATTACAGATTAAAAAAATCGTTAACAATATCAATACTTAAGGTGGTGGAATAAAAAACTGTCATATTGCAATATTTTAATAAAACACGTGATGCACTTTATACTTGATTAGTTACTTTCACAGAAAAGCTACAAAAAAAAAATTACATCTTTTTCAATTTCAAACAATGGTTCAGTACAAGCTATTTTCCATTCTACAAACCAAAATATGGTTACAGTACAAACAAATTTCCATTCTAAAATCGAAAAATAAAAGCAAACAAACTTCATATATAAAAACAAATAAATAAATAAAGCAAACAAATAAAAAAATAAATAAAAGTAAAGCAAACAAATCAAAGAGAAAAACTCCATAGTGACACCTCAACATCTTCAAAGTCTTCATTAATATCTTGATACTGAAACTAATGGCTCAAGCTATGTGTAGGGGACAGAAGAACCATATTTCTCAAGGACTCTGGAATGTTTAACACTTCCTCTTCTTGTTCGTCTTCCAAACAAAACATAAGCTGCTCCTCTGTGGTGGCGGAGGCGGCTTCAGCTGTTTCCATATTAGTTGTGAAAGTCTTGTTTGGTCTGAAAGCTTCGGCTGCTTCCGCAGCTGCCTTTTGTATATCTTTTGTTGCGGTAGTGGCAGGAACAGGAAGTCGCAACGCCGAGTCTGCAAAGTTGAGACAGGCGTTACGACCTCTCAATGCTAATGCCGCGACATCATGGGCTCGGGCAGCCATCTCGGCCGTCGGAAAAGTCCCTAACCAAATTTTAGTCTTCTTGTTAGGCTCTCTCATTTCACATACCCACTTATCCAAGTTCCTCCTCCTCACACCCCTGAACACCGGGTGGCGAGTCTCCTTGAACTTCTTCCTCCCTGCACGCTTTTTCGGTGTACTCGCAGCTAGTCGAACTTCCTCGTTGAAAACCGGCATCTCATGAGGGATCTCTAAATTTGGCAATGATGTGTTGGAAGAAGTTGAAGGTTTTGAGGAACTGGGTCGTGAAGTGGAAGGGTTGTTAGATGGAAACATGATTGTGTGTTGGAGATAGTAGAAAAGGTTTTGATAGTGAAATTGAAGGAGCTGAAGATAGAGTTGGTGATGTAAACAGCAAGAAGAGTAAGGTGTTATATATAGAGAGAGAACCATGGTTGAATTGAAGGAAAGAGGTAACAGTGTGAGAGTGTTTTGTGTGAGTGTGGGAAAGAGGTAACCGTGAGAGTGTTTTGTGTGAGTGAGTGAGTTTAGATATTTTATAAACTATAATGAGACATCTGGTATAATGCCTAGTTGGAAGATTTTTGATTGCTTATATATTTGAAAAAAGTGAAAGGGAAAGTGATGAGAAGAAAGACATAGAGACCCCACACATGACTCAAAAAGAGTAATAAAGTGATCCATATAGTATCTTCTAAGACACTAAATCATGTTTTTTATCCTCAAAATAGAATTAATAAGGTTATTAAAGCAAACATAGGAGTGTGCTATTTTTAGCTCTTATATACTTTTAGTAAAAAAAAGACACTATATTTCTGTTTGAAGTAGTAAAAATAAATATTAACGTAACTTATGTAAGTAAAGTTTATACATTGAAGTACATGTATTTCATGTTCACAAGTGGGAGTCGCTGTAAATTAGAAAAAGGAATAGTGTGTGGGCATTCATTTCAATCTCATCCTCAATGCTGCACTCAAGTACATTTGAAACCTTCTATTTACGGGTTATATAGGTTTATCTTCTATCATTTTGTCAAAGAAAAAATGTTCATTTTTTTTATCATACGAGTGTGGAAGCATTTCCGCAGGCCGTTTAAAACAGTTATTTACAGCTTGTTTAGGTTTATGTTATAGCATTTTGTCTAAAATGAGATATCATATCATATAATCATCTGTTCTTGAATTTTTTGTGAAATAGCTTACAACATATTAGCATGTTATTTTCAATTTGTTTCATTTGGCAACATAAAAACTAACAATATTTGATAACATAAAAACTAACAAACTATATTGTTCATACTTCATACGATGAATTTAATGTAATCTAAAAGGCAATAGAATCAAATGGTTTCATTTCTTCATCTAAAATTAGATGAATATATTTTATGTAGCATAACGAATTAAGACAGCTCTTATCACCACATGGATGCATTACTACCCGAGCGGATATGCAGCACAACTTTTCATTCTTTCATCCCCCGAGGTGGGCACAATAAAGGATTAGAATGTATAGCCTAGGAAGAAAGGGACAATACAGAGTAGTGCAGCCAATAATAATAAATTAACAGTTTTTTCTCAAAATTGGATATACAGTTTCTGCTACGACCTAGTTTTAAAGGGGAATAGCAGAAACAATTGGTCTACTCCCCTTAGTTTTAGTTTTTGAAATTCTAGAACAGAACATGCACAAAAGTAAAACTGACGATAGTAAAAAGAGCCTATAATATGTTCTTATTTCTTGCATTCCAAGCTCAAGTACCTCCATCTTTTTTCCATATCTATTCCTTCTCTCCATCAAATACCCATCTAGATACTCATCTATTGATACTAACTTATCCAACTTAACCACAGATGCTTTTGATTGGATTTCACCAAGCTGGTGTGGCCCCAATTTAAATATCGTAAAGAAAGCTGCAGACCAGTCCTCGAGAACAGTCTGTAAAAGATAATTTCAGATGTTAGGATCATCAATGTTCAACTTTTTCTAAATGTCATATCCCTCTTCTTAATTGAAAGTTTAAAAAATTAGTTTATTTATTTTTATTGTTAATAAATTACTTGAAAGGAATAGGAAACAACTGTCGAATAAACTTGGAAGGAATGAAGTGATAATTGCAGTTAAGTATTCAAGTAACTTACATTGTAGCTATCACGGTCAGTGGGATTAAACATTTTAAAACAGTCATTTGATGCAGCAGTTGCGTCCCCATATATCTGTCGGTCAATACAAGACGTTAGGACACCACAGTCAAATCTGCTAGTACAAAATGGGATGATGTCTAATAATCATGCATACCTCAAAGGTGAAGGCCAAGGGAACCCTCACAACGTCATACATGAAATCGGTTGCTGTCCCATGCGCAAAATACCTGGAGAAGCAAGTTCTTATTTGAGGAAGGATTGACACATAAACTATGGACAGCAATATAAAGGCATTTCTCTGCCTTAAGACTAGTAAATTTCCGAAGCACTAAAACAGATCATGTATGTTATACTTTTAAAATTTTCAATTTAACACTTTTGGCACCTAAAATTTAGTACAACAGAGCAACCACTTGCATCTTCCAATTATAAAAACAAAAAAAGCACGAGCCCCTAAGATGTCAATTAGCCAAACTTAGATTAATGTACAGATTTTGACAACCAACAAGCTCATCACGGGTTTACTGTGTTTTGTGCAAGAGTATCTCTCCATCTTACATGCACTTGGTTAAGTTTCATATTTTGGATGCATCCAAAATAAATAAAATAGACATAAAAACTGCAATAGTTAAATTTATCCTCTTGTCATGAGTGACATAACTCATGAGGTAGGAAAATAAGACAGAAGAAAATACAGACCAGAACTTTGACACTCATTAAAATAAACAGATATATAAATCCCACACATTTGGCCTATTGAAAAATTTGTATCAGTACTATCATCATCAGATTCAAATAAGAATTAACTAACCCTACAGAACCGCCTCCAGACCCAATCACACAACGCTTTTCGCAATGAAGCTGATTAACTTCTTCAAGCAACGCCTTCATCCGTTGCAATGGCAATCCATCAGGTGTTGTATTTTTGTGATCATATGGCATAAAAAGGGCCTGCAAAGAGGGTTGGAAAAGGGACAGTAATATTTGTAATATAAGTTCATATGATGATGGTTCCAAAGCATCTTTACCAAATTACATAAATTATTGAATTTGAAGCAGAAGAAGAATGAAAAGAAGAACATTTAGTCAACACACATGTCTTAACTGAATATCATTCTCATAAAAGTAAACATAAAGTCAAGTATTGTAAAGCAGCAAGTATAACAGCTAAAACAACAGAAGTAAATAATACTTGGTAGGAGCCGTGGGTTGAGAAAATATCACCTACTTGATATAAGAACATTTAGTATGATAAGGGGCAAAGTTTTAACCACAAAACAAGGCTTAAATGACAACCAAACAATTGTACTATTAGTCTATCTAAAAATTGAGTGGGGTTATGTGCCTCCCGTATTGCCAAATGTGGACTCCATCCCTGGTCAGAGTCAAGTACTATAATGTTAATAATGTATGCCTATATTAACATTTACATCTGATAATTCTGTTTCCAAAAGAGATTATAACAATTTCTATCATATCCTTTTTTCAGCTGCACAACAATATGACAAATCTTGGAGGAGTCTAAAACATAACTTTGATTTCAAGATTTTTTTTTCCTAATTTAAGAAGGATAGTACAAGAGTAGTAGTAGCATGGTTTGTTAGCTAAAGGATTAAATGTGAAGCTTGTGTTACTGGTGAGACATCAAAATGAAAAACATAATTAGGACAAATGGATTCAAGTAGCCATTTTTAAAATGAGAATCTAGTTTTGCATGCCTACAAACTTACTCTACTATGTTATCCTGACCGTCCGATCAAGATTGGAGAACTCTGATTTAAAACAGGTGATTTTGGAAAAATCAAATCTGTTTTTCTGAACCGTGCGATCGAGATCAAACGGTCAATATTATCTTGACGAAGTGAATGTGGGAAAAATTTGACTGCAGGGGATTAAATTTTGAAAAATTCATGTTTTAGAAAGATGCAGGCTGCATCTGTAATATGCATTGGGTTGGCAGAGTTCCAACTGATGCCAGTTCTTGTGTATTTTTCAACATGATATTGGTAAACTTGGACCGTAAAGTTATTCCGGGAGAAATCTTGACTACTCAACATAGAGTTTTGATTATGGATGTAAAATTTAAGGGAAGAGCAAAGAAAAGAAATCATAGGGTAGCGCCAAGGATCAAGTGGTGACATTTGAAGGGTGAAAACAAGAAATTTTTCAACACAAAATCTTGGAGGGAGGGTTTGGACAACCACGAGAAAGTACACATGATATGTGAAATAAGATGACCCAAGAAATTAGAAAAATGGCTAAAGAGATATTGGGTGAATCAAGAAGTTTTGGACCTAGGGATAAAGAATCATGGTGGTGGAATGAAAGTGTCCAGAGTAAAGTTAGAGTAAAAAAAAACTGATTTAAAGTTTGCTCTAGGTGTAAAGATGCTGAAACGTGGAGAAAGTACGAAAAAGCTAAGAATGAGATCAAGAAGGCAGTGAGTGAAACAAGAACCCAAGCTTTTCGATGGATTATACCAATCTCTAGGAATTAAGGAGGAAGAAATAATTTATATATAGACTTGCTAAGGGAAGAGAAAGAAAGACTAGAGATTTGGATCAAGTGAAGTGTGTTATAGATGAATAAGGCAAGATCTTGGTTTGAAAAAAAGATATAAAAGATAGGTGGAAGACGTATTTCTACAACCTATTTAACAAAGGATATGATATCACACCGGAATCTAGCAGACTCGATATTAGAGAAGCAGATCGGCATTATAATTACTACCGTCAGATCCAAAAATGGGAGGTAAAGGAAGCCTTGAAAAGAATGAGTAACAATAAGGCGGTTGGACCAGACAACATACCTATTGAAGTGTGAAAAATTCTTGGAGATGGAGGTATTCAGTGGCTCATAAATTTCTTTAATGAAATTATGAGGTCAAAGCACATGCTGGAGGAATGAAAAGAAACACCTTAGTTCCAAACTATAAGAACAAGGGGGATATATAAAATTGTGCAAATTATAGGGGGATTAAGCTTCTGAGTCATACCATGAAGTAATGGAAAATAAGGATTGAACATAGATTAAGAAAAGAGACTAAGTCTCCGAGAATCAATTTGATTTTATGCCTGAAAGGTCGACCATGGAAGCAATATATCTATTACGGCGCGTGATGGAGCAATATCGGATGGATCAATAAGACCTGCACTTAATTTTTATTGACTTGAAGAAGGCATATGATATAGTACCTAGAGAGATTTTATGGAAAGCCTTATAGAAGAAAGAAGTTAGGATTGCATATATTCGAGCTATTCAAGATATGTATGAAGGGGTAATGACTAGTGTGCGGACACAAGTACAAACGATTTTTCTATTACAATTGGTTTGCATCAAGGTTCAACCCTAAGCCCCTACCTTCTTACCTTGATTTTGAATGTATTCACGGAACACATCCAAGAGCTAGTACCGAGATACATGTTTTATGCAGATGATATAGTTCTTCTTGGAGAGTCGAAAAAGGATTTAAATGAGGTTGAAAACTTAGAGACGAGTATTAGAAACACATGGTTTTCGCCTAAGTAAATGTAAGACGGAGTATATAGAATGTAAGTTCAATAAAAGAAGAAACTCTTATAATTTAGAGGTGAAAGTTGAAGACCATATTCTCCCGCAATTCATAATACAAAATGATTGAGAAATAAACGGGGATGTAAACCATAGAATTCAAGCTGGATGGTTGAAATGGAGAAGGGCATCTGGTGTTTTATGTGATGCAAAGGTACCGCTCAAGTTGAAGGAAAAGTTTTTATCTGTCAACGGTAAAACCTGCAATTTTGTACGGGACAATGCTGGACGGTTAAAAATCAACACGAGAATAAAGTAAGTGTAGCAGAGATGAGGATGCTGCGGTGGATGTTTGATAAGACTAGACATGATAAAATTAGAATTGAAAATATTAGAGTGTCGAACCTATAAAGCACGGGTACACCGTTTTAAGTAAAATACCAGTACCGGGTTTTAGTACGCGAACGGTACACATATGGTACGTACCAAATCCACACTCTTTTTAAATTATTTTTTCATGTTTGGTATGCACATTGGTACACGTACCCATAAAAACTTAGTTTTTTTTCTTCGGTCCATATAGTTTCAGGCTAATTTAGTGAGTCAAATTTAAGTTTTTAATTTATTTATAAAAGGAGAAGTAAAAAACCAATTCTATATAGTCTAACATTTTTTTCTGCATGCATCGCTGCTATGCAATTTCAGGTTTCAGCCTTTGAATTCATGAATTATTGGTATGTTTCCAATGTAATTTTTTTATGTTATTGATCTTGACTTTTTTTGAACAAAATATTTTTTAATTTTGATGTTTTGTTATCATTTGAACCTTATAATTCTTTCAAATTATTTTTTTCACAACTTAACTATTTTATGTTATATTTACAATTATATTTTAAAAAATTACAATGAAATACCCGTACCTTAGTTTTTTTTTTAAATTGTCGTACTCTGCATTCGTACCGTCTATATTGGAGAAGATAGTGGAAAATAGACTTAGGTAGTTTGGGCATTTAGAGAGAAGACTAGTAGATTAGATTATGTAGTAAGGAGGATAGACCAGATGAAACGAAGGTAAACGATTAGATGAAGGGGAAGACCTAGAAAGACTATTAAAAATGTTATTAAGAAAGATCTCGAAATTAATGATTTGAATAAAAACATGATCCTTAATAGAACATTCTGACAAAAGTTGATCCATGTAGCTGACCTCACTTAGTGAAATAAGGCTCAGTTGTTATTATATATTGGTAAACTTGCAGGTTTATAAGTTTAACAAAAAAACTCATCGAATATGGTTTGTAGACAACACATGGTTTATTCAAATGTCTCTTAGTCTCTAGTATTTTAACATGGTATCAGAGTCTCGTTTAAGATTTGGCGGGTCACCTTCTATGGTTTCCACTATCGGGTCACCAACCATTTATTTCCACGCTTCAGTTGTCTAGTCCTGAGCGTGAGGGTGTGTGTTAAAAGTCTCACATCGGATAATATATGGCATGAACATGTGTTTATAAGTGGGGTAATCCCATAGAGAAATAATATCATTGATAAAGTTGAAAAAGTTAAATATAATCTACTAGATTATAGCAATTAAATTGAAAATTCTAACTCCTGTTTGGGTTATATAATGTCCATATCTGGATTTATACCACAGAAATAGATAAGAAACATAAGGGAGTAACCATTTTATTTTTCAAAAAACGTGAAATAGCTTACCTTCATTCCAGAGTGCACATTGACCCATATATGTGGTTCAAAAGATATGGCAAGTTTCCTCATAATTTGACTTTCAGGCTCACTAAATGGAGCAATTCCGGGATTCTCCTCATAGGGATCATAATCCTATTGTTTTGAACAATAATGCAAATGAATAAAAAGCTTTAAAAGAAAATTAAACAATTTTCCATTTTACTGGATAAGAAAGGCCAGTGCATAGATTGATAAACAGATATCAAGAAGAATGAGAAGTGCAATCTAGCTAAAGCCTCTTCTAGCATCACAGTATATTGTTATCTCAAACTAACTAAAAGGTGCAAGCCGACAATGGACACAGTACAAGCAACATTAATTAATAAAATTTCACAGTGCCAAAAAGAGATTGAAGACATATAACAAACCTTTTCCTTTTTGCCCCAATCTACACTCCAATTCCGGTTGAGATCAACTCCTCTGCCTGCCACATAACATACACTTTAGGCATTTCAAAATTAGTAACTACTGTACTAAGTATCATACAGGAGAAATACAATACCGTTTCTTCTCTCACAGAGATCTCCAGCCTCAACAAGCTTGCGGCCATTAAAGTTTTCCATAGGAATCACCTATAAATAATTAACACCAACATTATGAAGATATCAATCTCTCCTGTTAATTCTATTATTTCACAAATGCACATAACTCATTTTTTTCTTATATTTATAAAAAAAGTACTTCCTAATTTTAAAACTTTAATATACACCCAAAATCAAATGTGAAACAATTGGAACATAGTTGTAACACTCCACATATATGATTATGTAATTTCATTAGCACCTTGATAGTTAGAGCCCAATTCCACAATGAATTTCATAATTCTCGCATATTTTTGGCAGAAATTTCACTTACCTTTATTACAAGCTGGTCGAGTGTACTGTTTAAGGAAGCTTTATTCAAGCCGGGTAGAAATTGTTCTTCAGTAAGAAGAGACAAAATCTTTAAAGCAAGTTCTGAGGTAATCAGCTCCCTTCCATGCTGTCCAAAACTCTGGAAGACAATGAATCATCTGTCAAAAAAACCAGAATAACCAATTTGAGAAAACTATCCACTACATGCCAGATTACAGCTTTGTGTAAAACAACACCATATTACAATTATAGCATTACAACTTCATCACTTGTGGACATTAATGTATATTGTTTCCAACATTAAACTGCTCGTAACATGAAAGCCCATAATTAATACCCATGAACATAGAAATCTTACAAGAAGGATCCGAATCTTTGGCCTCTCGGCAGTATCTTTCTTTCCCTTACAATAAGTAACCACTGCAATCTCAGCACCATAGCCTTTGTTTCCAGCTTTAACTGTCTCCATCTACATTAAAACATCAAATATAAGAACCATGTATACTCAAATACCAGAACACACAGTAGTCAAATCTAAATACATCATCGACTACTCACAGATAGCTTATCCGGATGACGATGAACCAAGTCCTTGATCTCATCCATCAATTTTCGACTGCAAAATTCCACAACAACAAACAAATAAGCAATTTCACGAAATCACAAAACAAATCAAGTAATTGAAAAAAAACACTACAGTGCTCCAAAAAATCAAAGCTCATAATTAAGCACAAGAAAAATATCAAAAAAATTGCAAAAAGCGTGACAATTAAGAAATCAAGTAAGGTCAAAAGACACAATGTAAACGTAAATCAGTTCCTACACAAGGCAAGGAAAACTAATATACTACAGATTGAGATTCATTCAACAAAATCATAACTGAAATTTAACTATAGAAACTAATGTAGATTGAGATTCATTCAACAAAATCCTAACTGAAATTTAACTATAGAAAAGAATATACTACAGATTGAGATATATACAACAAAATTGTAACTGAAATTTAACTATAGAAACTAATAAACTACAGATTGAGATTCATTCAACAAAATCGTAACTGAAATTTAACTATAGAAGTTAATATACTACAGATTGAGATTCATTCAACAAAATTGTAACTGAAATTTAACAGTAGAAACTAATATACTACAGATTGAGATTCATTCAACAAAATCGTAACTGAAGAACGTGATCTAAAATGCTAAAGGAACATCGATTTGCATAATAGAATTGCGAAATTGAAAAAACGGCGATTCCGATAAATTAGGAAGATTGATGAGAAATTGAACAGAAGAGAGTGAAACCTGGAGTGATAGAGATCGTAGTTGATTGGTGTAACTGAATATTGAGTGAAATTGTTGATAAATTGGCCATTAACGGAGAAGAGATCTTGAGAGGAAGAGAGGAAGTAGATGGTGATTGAGAAGAGAAAAGATGAAAGAGAAAGAATATCAGCCATGGCAAGATCCACAGTATCATCTCATTCTTTTATTTATGGTAACATTTTTCATGATAATAAGTATTTATTAAACTTCTTCCATTGCGTTTCTCTAATAATTTTCTCAATTTCTAAATTTCGTTATAATTGATTGCTTTTTCACACGTTCAACGGTGTTGATGAAACGCGGTTTACAACGAGTATCGGTTATATTATACTGTATGTCGTTTTCATTACTTGGGCTGTTTTTTTTTTTTTGGCAAAAACATTTTTTTTATCCTTTAAGTTTATATTTTTTTTTTGGTACATTAATTTTAAATCAATCATTTAATTATTTAAATAGCGTCACATTTATCCTTTCCATCGAGTCAAATTTTGCACGCATGACATTTGATGTGGAATATTTTCATACTTACATGGCATAAACTCATCACAAACGTCATCAAAATTTCAAAAAGTTATGTTGAGAAGAAAAGGAAAGGAGGTGATGCAACAGGTTTCTTATTTCCAAAATGCAAAAAGTTATGTTGTCCATGTCAATGCCACGGGTATGCCAAATAGACTATGAAATTGACTTTGACTAACGGTAAGTGCCACGTAGTGTCGGTGTGTGGACGTTGGAGGTAAGGGTCAGAATCTTGTTGTTGTGATTGGGTGAGTGACATGAATGGGTTGCGGGTTTGGAAGTTTGATTAGGTGAGTATATATTGTTGTTGGGTGTGGTGCGGAGTTGTTTGTTGGGCATATGTATGTTGTTGTGTGTATGAGGACGAAGCACGTCGGTGCAGATCTATCAAATATGTCGGCTCAGACATAAATTGTTGTGTTGTAACTGACCTAAACCAAATCATATATTGATGACTTGGTCTAACCCCTTCCACGACATGTTTGTTTAAGATATATTGACGTCGATTCTTCTAATATTGACACGTCTCTTTAGCAAAGTCTCTCCAATCATCTACACCTCATTGGGATCCACTCTCAATTGATGTCAGTCTCCCAAACACGTCGGAGTGGTTGTGATATCTTGTTGCATGCCGAACTGCAGTTTCACTCGATTACTTTGGTACATCTCCACCATAGTGAACTGAATGATTGGTGTTTTTGATGTCCACACTGCAAGATCATCAGGGTTAGGTTGATGGTCGAGACCTAGATACAACCTCTAGACAAAATGCATAATCAAAATACTTAATGAGAAAAATTATAGTGTGTTAATTTAACATCCAATTGTAGTGTAAGAATAATTTACATCATTTGACTCAATGTGGTCTAAAAAATTGCGGTACATGATTATTGAGTTTCTGGAACATCATTGGTAAGTCATTCCCATAACTGACCACCTAAAAAAAAGTGAGATAAATAAATTAGTTACAAATGAACATTTTATCAAAGTATACATGTTTGATATTTTAAAATAAACTTACTTGTTTGCGTAGGGGAATGTGTATGGATTCAGGTTGACCGGAGCGAGTGTCGATATTCTAGACCAAACTCATGCTTGAAGTAGAAAGGCGCAACCATAAAACGTACAAGTATTTTTTTGGAAAATTTTACACAAGGCACTATATAGATGGGCCAAAATAGTTGAACCCTAACTATAAATGCATACTTTATGAATGTTGCATAACAACGACAAATACATAGTATTTACAGTATTTCTAGTACTTTTTGGAAATAAAAAATGTTCAAATAAGATCATAATATAACACCGATTTTTAATTATCTTTTCATACTCGGTGGATTCATCGTCTAATGTGATAATTTTATAATGTTCTCTAAGGTATTTTAAATTTATACCTTGACCCCTTGGTTGACTTGCACGTTGTGGCTGAGGTGTCTCGACACAAAGAGGGGACCCAATAAATCTTCGCAAATTTGGTTATCAACATCAACTTTACCGTTAACGGCCTTACCATCGATGCGTAGGCCCATCAACATTAGACATCTTCCAATGTGACAGTGCATTCACCGAATGAAAGGTGAAATGTGTGGGTCTCTAGTCTCCGTCGTTCTAGCAAAGCTAGAATAAATTTGGCGTCAATTGACTATGGAGTGATATTTATCAAATGACCGAAATCGCATGATTCAAGGTATGGTTCTATGATTGGGTCGTGTGATATATAGTCATGATATGAAATGAAATCCTGTTTGTCATTAGCGACAATCCTTTTTTGAAGGTGAGTACCATAATCTCGCATATTGTTCAAAGATACAACTATACTCCTTCGTATAAGAAAGCGCATATAACTAGGACTAAGGCAATTAAAACGGTGTTCGAAAATTGGAAGGATTCGTAAAAATAACTTCCAAAATACTTGGTGACACTTAAACAATATGCTCCAGGGACTGTTGTCATATTGGAGACCTTGTCAGGGTATACCCCTGACGGAACTTGTGTCAGTGGAAATAGCATTTTCCACCGATTATTCTGGGCGTTTGAACCATGTATCAAAGGTTTTGCATACTGTAAATCTATTATACAAATTGATGGAACATGGTTGTATGAGAAATATAAAAGAACGCTACTCATGCCATTGGCACAAGATGGTAACAACAATATTTTTCCAATTGTCTTCGATCTAGTTGAAGGGGAGACTGTTGGGGGTTCTTGTCTGACTCAATCCAACCGGGGTTCAGTATTTATGTCGGCCAAGTTGGCTTCGGCATTTACGTCGACCATATCGATGTTCCCGGACTGTCGAGCCATTTAACCTGAAAAGTAGAGGAAAAAAATGAATTCGTCGTCAAGATTAAATCCACCCTTCCACTACAAATCAAGTGAAAGGGAAAGGAAAACCTCGAAGACAAGCCCTCGACCAAAGCCCTTGTTGACAAGCACGTAGTCATGAGGAACTTCTCCTTGACACAAGACATGAAACCTAATCCGCAGGGAAGAAACTCCTCGACACGAGACTTTTTCAGAATTTTTACACCCCTGTGAGGACAAAGTCTCCCCGAAACTAAGCCTAACGAAAGTTCAAGAACTTTGAACTTCATCATAAACTTCATGAGTTCCCCGAAAACTTCACCGGAAACATCATGAGTTCCTCGGAATCTTCATGAGTTCCTCGAAAGTTTCATCAGAAGTTCAAGAACACCACCTGAAAACTTATATAAATCGCTAGAAAACACATAACTTCATTGCAAAGTTCATGAGCGTCGTCAGGAAACACACATTTTGTTTTCTTCTTACTCGAGATCTGACGGCAGACGACGATTGAGGATGGCAAAGTCACCGTTAAGCGCCAACACTCGCCAGAACCGAATCCTACCAGAAAAAAATAAGAAAATAAACGAATACTTACTTGGGTGAAGATGCTAGAGATATACGGTGACGGGATGAGGGCTAACGACGGCGGAGACGACGACGAGCGAATGTGGGAGAGAGCAGAGAAATTCTTTAGAAACTCTTTCGGAACTTGAGAATGCAACGAGTGTACCAAATGAATCACAATCCCTCATTCTTATATCCTCTGACACGGGAAACGAATTTTCGCCTAGACCCTCGAGTATCCCTACTCGTAGGCCATCAGAGGCATTTAGTATTTCTGACACGTGGCTCGAAGAGACGTCACCAACTGAACCCGCGTTCTTGAGAACAAGTCGTCCATTTTCTGGGGTTCGTGGGGCAGTTGATCCAGGACAAAAACCACATGTTGGTCTTCCATACTTCCATGTAGGGTCCTGGAAGTCACCTGTTGTGAACCTTACGATCTAACCTACAACAGATGATTGTTGACTCAGTGCTGGGTGCACATTATAAATACCCTCCTCCAATGGAGGGTCAGATATTCTAAATTCCTTCACTTTGTACTTGCTCTTTCTCTCTTTCACTCTGAACCTCACTTTAGCATCAGAGTGTCTTGCAGGCACACCCCCTCCTCTTCTCCGCCACCGACAAATTTGGAGCTCACGATGTGTTGCTGGCCGCTGATTGAATTTCTAATCTTGGTAAGATCGGTAACTTTAGGGATGAGACTAGAGAAAACAACATTGGGAGGACATAAGGTTGCTTTTGTTTAAATTCCTAATTGAATCCTTGATCTTTCTTAGAAATCTAATGGATCTAATCCAAGTGCCAAAGGTGTTTTTAATATTGGATCAACATTTTTTTGGCTTTCAGTAGGACAAAATTCCTCATTATGCCCAACAATACCACAATTAAAACAAAACATTGGTAATTTCTTATAATGAAAATCAATCAAGTTAGTACCCTTTTTAACTACCTATGTGAATACCAGTCTTAAGAGGTTTAGTAGCATCACAAATCACATTGACCTTAATAATGCTGATATTGTTAGGAAAGAGATACAAGTTAGATTTAAGGACCTGACAAATCTTAGCACCGATCTTCTCTCCCATTTGAGCAAATATGATTTTCTGGGGAATTCCCCAAAGTTGAACCCAAATAGAAGGAAGTAAGGAACCTTAAAAAATTGATCTTTTTTAGAACATAATCTTGATACCAAGGTTTCATAGAGAGCCATGCCTTTTTAAAGATACAAAGGATCCTTTTGATATCCATATTATTTTTCAAAGCAATGCGAAAAAACCTGATTCCACTTCATAATTTTGAATTCCTTTTGGCTCACATCATATACTAGCAAGCCCTACCGATGGAAAGTTCTTATGAATAGATTTTTTAGATAAGAACTTTCTTATTAGAGCTAGTCGATTCTCTTTGAATCTGTCTTTGCAATCATCTTCATCCCACACACAAATTCATAATATGCATATTCTACAAGTTCAAATATAACTTTCCTTTTTATGTTGACACAGTGAAAAGATCTACAAAAGCCCTAATTAGGGTTTTTGTTGATGTTGCACTCTCCCGGTTGATTTAATGGACTTGAATTGTAGAAATTTGGATGTTGGATACAATATCCTAAGTAGACCCAACTCTTTTTTCCTTTTTCTGCAGAATCTTGGATCTCCATGGTTGTTATCAAAAGCAGAAAGAAGAACAGAGAGACAGAGAAGACAAGACAATGATTCACAAAAATAACCAGAAACTTAAAAGAAAACAACAACGAGAGAAACCATAATAACAAAAAGACTAATCCCAACAAAACGAAGGCAAAAAAAGGTAGCAAGAAACACTCTCCACAAAAGGGAAAAAAGAAAAAAAAAAAAACTCTGAAAGAAGGCACATTGAAAGCACAAACATACACTTCAAATGTAGAATGAAAAATCAGACACTCACACGTACCAACGACAGACGCTGAAGGAGGAGAAAAGAAAGATTAAGATACCCTATGTATTAGACAAAGGCAATATATATATATATATATATATATATATATATATATATATATATATATATATATATATATATATATATATATATATATATATATATATATATATATATATATATATATATATATATATATATATATATATATATATATATATATATATCGCAAATAGAATTTCTTTTCCCCTATATTTTTTATAAATTCTTTTTATATGACTCAAACCTTCATCACTAGATCAGTTTTGAAAATCAACTTTTTTTTAAATTTTTTATCTAAAATATTTATTTATTTATTTTAATTCTTTAAATTATGTTTTCTAATACTATTAATAAAGAATAACCTTATAACATTATTCAGTTTTTTTCAGGTTTATATAAAAGTATTCTTTAATTCGTATAAAATTGTTAAAAGATTTATATTAAAATATGAAGCGTATAGTATTTGCTTAAGCTTTCAAAGCGGTCGCATCTTAGAAAAGATAAGAAAGAGAACAAAAGCCACTAAAGTAGGAAAAATCCAATTGTAATAATGAGAAATCCACAGTTTCTAAGCTACAACATGAGCCGTCGGATCAAAAATATGACCGTTATAGACGCTCAAAACCCTCGCTCCTCTTGTTCAAATCAAATAAAACCCGCCCCGCATTTTTCACTGATACTGTGTTCATTTCGCCGCAGCAATGTACAACTCGTCATCAACCATGAAGTCGCGTCTCCGGCCACCGCGTCCGATACCTAAATCTCCAACTCGTGTTGCAACTCGAACCATCCCAGACTCTGTCTCTCTTCAAACTCCACCAGGTACTTTTTCTGCATCCAGATCTTTATTTTTTGAATTTTAATTCGTAAACAAATTTTTTTTTTCTTCTGATCGTGGATGATTGTAACAGGTTCTTTGATGAAATCTCAGAAAGCAGTTCGATCTCCCGAACAACTACGACCTGAATACCGCACAATTGCTTGTGAATTTAGGGCTTTAGCAAAGATGGTTAATAACCAATTCGGAAAACCAGATCCGGAAGAAACTGCTTTCACCAATTCTTGTAACGCTAAATCAGGTGTTTTATTTCAGAGAGGAAGATTGTATGATGAATATTCTGCAAGAAGGAACGAAAGGCTTAAGAGAAAACAAGAAATCGCGGTGAATGAAGTTAATATTACTAGTATTAAGCCGCCTAGGGTGCCGCCTTCTCATCGTGCTCTCGGTGTTAACGTTGAATCTGGAAAAAAGACTAATACTGCGAGAAAACTTGGAAGTCTTAGAAAATCGGTTTCTGCTGCTTATTCTGCTGAGGTTAGTGAAACTCCAAGGTACATGCTTAGGAGCAGGAGTAAGGAGACTAGTAAGAAGCCTCCTCTAGCTTCAAGAATGGATAAATCTGTTGGTGTTGGTGGTGAGAAGAAGATTGGAGCTACACCAAGAAGAACAGGAAGAATTTCATACCACTAGGGTTATTTAAAATGGAGGACTTGATTTAATAAGATGTCTGAGTTGAATCTTGTTCTCTGTTGTGTATTTTACTTTTATTCAATGGAAGTTGATACATTTTCTGTGTGTGATATGATTTAGACATTCTTGATTGTGGAATTATATTTTCCATTCTTGATACTTAAAAATCAAGGTTAAAAGTATAGTTTATTATTAATTACAGTGTGGTTAAAGTATAGTTTATTATTAATTACAGTGTCGTACCCCGGTGTTTGGGTTTGATAGAAGTTAAATATACTCATTGAGAAAACATTGTTCAAGACATACACATTACATATCCATGGCCACCACCAGAAGAAAATATACATAAGTGGTAGTGTAATTTTATTCATCCATAACTTAGGAGTGTTAGTGATCTTTATACATTCGCGCACATAATATACATAACATAATAACATGTCGATTTGATGGACAAAAGCTTGGATTTTAATCCTCTCGAGTAAATGGAAAGGTCTACTTAGAGAGAAGTTGAATATGCAGCAATCCATCTCGAAATAGATTTCTGTATTTTCACGAAAGGAATAACTACCAATAGTTTCTTCAAATTTTACTCTTAATTCCTTTTCCAATTATGCTGCTTATCTCATCCATTGGATAGTTGACAAGTGAAAACTGCCAAGATTCTCAGTTATCTGCATCTTCTTGTTTGTCTCCAACAACTTCACTTTCAACCTTAAGAATTTCGGCATCAACTGCATCCTCTGAGTTATCTTCTTTTCGATCCAAATTGCTATTTTCACTCTCCATAGAAACATCATGAATTTTTGCAACATCAGTATCGACTGCAGCAAAGGTCTCTTCTACCTTGCTCAAATTGGGATTGTTGCTTTCTTCTTGTCTTTCATCCACTCTATAATATACCTTTGGAAATTTTCAAATTCAATTAGCAATTCACTTTTCCACTGTGAAGTGCAAATAAGTCTTTCATCCACTCTATAATATACCTTTGGAAATTTTCAAATTCAATTAGCAATTCACTTTTCTACTGTGAAGTGCAAATAAAAAATCTACCCACAAATCATCAAGTATTTTTCAACATAAGAAAAATTAAATGAAAAGGGACCAGATCACGTACCACACATGTACGAGGCGGGGATAAGACCTTGAAGGAATTGGGACGATTGTTGAAATTTGTTTCAGGAACCCCTGGTATTCCTTCTGGGGATGTGAAGTGATCTGCATCATGCCCCACCTACGAATGGAAAACGGTCAACCTTGTATAAAGGAAGAAACAACAAAGAAACATATTCAAGAACCATGGAATAATAGCAACTGAGTCAAAGTCTAAAATCACAGCAATGAGCAAAACTTGAGGCTAATGTCGTTCTGGTGACAGTTAGGGTGGACATAGTTCCCACCCCTATTTATAATATCTAATACCAAAAAGATCAGGAGTCCTTACTCTTCCATGTCCTCCAAATTCCCTAGCATCACTATCCAGCGCAACTCGATATTTCCCAGGCAAGTCACACCCAACTTTATATCTGCATGTTTCAATGTTCCATCCAAATCATTTGCGGTTAACAGTTACTATTTACAGAAATTTATATATAAACTTCACATAAAACCAAACACACAACCTCGCAAATGTAAATTAACCAACACACAAATGAAAATTTAACGCATTGCATACCCTTCATATGTATTCTCTGGATGAAAATTGAACACAAACACCAGATCCCCACGTTCAAAGACTATAACCTATAAAAGAAAAACCATTAGGCATTTAGTTATAGTAGAGTTATACTTGAAACTAACTAGGAATAGACAATGGCTTGTTCATTCATTTTTAAGAAGAGCCTTCTTCATACACCAATGTATATATTCTAGGATGTAGTCTATTTTAATCTGTCATAGTATAATAAGTTCTCTGAATTGTCTAGCAGTAGTGAAAAAATCACGTTATGGGTATACGTATATCTACCTTGTCTTCATTGTTTGTGCTGCTCACAATCTGTTTTGTTGATGCAAGGATAGAGAATTTATCATCGAGCAAGTTCATTGCTCTGTCAAATTCATTCATGAACTGCAAGTTCCAAAAGCAAAAATAAAACGTTTATATCAAAGACAAGAAAGAAACTCATAGAATGCACCAAAATACAAAGAGTTCTGCAGAAAGGGGAAAAAGGAGCTTCACAAAATAAGGCTGCAAAGTTGAATTATGCATCGCACAAAAATATGCAAAATGACATTGCCCATTTGCATAATATTCTATTCTGAAGATAATGGATATATTAAATAATTAAACTTGCCGAAAGTCCCAACCAAGATATGAAGCCATAAATAAATAGATACACACAAGTTACCTTGTATCTCAAGTGATTTGTGTCCACCAGATTCCACTGACGCCTGCATTTCTCATAACTCCATCCATTGCCTTCTCTAGGAAAATCAATCCACTCCGGATGGCCAAACTAAAAATGACATCGTGAATATAGTTTGTTTATGATTTAACAAAAGGATCATTGCCAGGTGCATCATATAGTAACAGGGAGCAGTGGTTTTGCAGATAGGAGAGTAAAGCAGTATGCATTACCTCATTGCCCATGAAATTAAGGTAGCCCTCTCCACCTAATGCCAGGGTTATGAAGTGTATCATCTGCAAAAGATTAAAATAACAATGACTACAAACAACAATAACTGTATTGCATTAACAGCTTCACAATTCAATATCTAATTTTGTACATGTACGTAGTCTAGAAGGTTTTATGGTCATATAAAAACCTTGTGAAGAGAAATCCCTCGCTCAATAGTAGGAGAAGCAGCAGTCAAACAAGACATGCTAGAATACATTTCTTCATCCATTAGTAAAAATGCAATGGTCTTGTCCCCAACAATGGACTGCCCAAGGGAAAAACTATAAGACGTTAATAGTGCAGGCATTCACAAACAATTCAATAAGATAATTCCTTGACTGCATATCGGCTCTAGTTTCTATCATTTTCTGTTCACAAATTTAACCAAAACTAAATTCTAATATTATTTCCAACACAAAGGCATCACAACAACACAAAACAAAATGACAAAGATCATACTTGGTCATGACTTTCAGCATAAGAGACACATTTTTCACTGTATCTTCTATTTGTCAAATTCAAAGAGATTTCCTTCATTGACCATTCACTGTCTTTCTTGTTCTTCAAGTAGTCAATCCACTTGTCGGGGATAGCCATGGCTAGTCGATAGTCAAAACCAATTCCCACCTCAGAAACTGGTCTGCCGAGTCCAGGCATTCCCGAAACATCTTCAGCAATGACAGTTGCATTAGGCAAAAGATCATGGACCAGAGAGTTGGCCAGCATCAAATAGACAACGGCATCCACATCTGTTTCTTCACTAAAATATTCATTATAATCCCCTGTAAATGCCATATTGATTCCATGGTGATGATACAACATTGATGTTACTCCATCAAATCGAAATCCATCAAATTTGTACTCTTCAAGCCACCACCTTAAATTCGATAAAAGGAACCGAAGAACTTCCCAGTTGGCATAGTTAAAAAGTCTACTATCCCATAGCTTGTGATAACCTCTATCTCCAGTGTGGAAGTAAGATTGTTGTGAACTTTGACCCACATCAAAGCCGTTGAGTCCATCGGTAACATTATTGCTAGCATGACTATGGATGACATCCATCAAAACATTCAAACCTAGGCTATGGGCCTTATCTATCAGATACTTAAGATCTTCAGGGCTTCCAGATCTACTGCTCACAGCAAAAAAGTTTGTTACATGATATCCAAATGACGCATAATACGAATGCTCCATCACAGCCATCAGCTGGACTGTATTATAGTTATTTTCCCGAATACGTGGCAAAATATCATCTGCAAATTCTCTGTAAGAGTTTATGCGGGGCTCAGAGCTACTCATTCCCACATGAGCTTCATATATCCGTGGAGCTTTGGGCTTTGGTGGACGGGGATGTTTAAACTGATACCTGCAGAACAAACAAGAGGATGCACAAACAGCTGGGGTAATTTCATCCAAACTTGATCAAGAGTGGAGTGAAAAAACATTGATATCAAGTAGATTACAAAAGGTATAATAATTCGGACATGGTTAACTTATTTGCAATTGCTACACATAATGCATCAGGCAAAATATTATGGTCCGACAAAAAATATAAATATTATAAAACTTAAAGAAATTATTTGCATAATTTAAAAGTCGATTAATAAGAGGTATACGTTAGATGATTAGAGTCCATTTTAGTATTTGATATTTCAGATGCAGAGTTTAATTCTTTAGTTAAGACTTAAGACAACAATCCAGAAGATATTCTACATATGTGAATAATAGGATTATAGGACCTCTCTGAAAGTGGTGGATCCCAGTAGACACCATCGTAAGGAGCAGCAAATCTGGTAGGATCGACAGTGGCATATTTAATCCAAGCAGGGATACGGTCAACCCAAACTCCATCACTATGTTTGAACCTAAACTTCACTCTTGAATTGTGAGGTATAGCTGGATTTCCATCGGCATCTGGGATCTTAATGCTCCATACGCCAAACTGATCTTTTTCCATCTGATGGTTGGAACCATTCCACCCATTAAAATCCCCAATAATCTGTGCTTCCCTGCATTGAAAAAAATTCAAAATCCAAAAAACAAAACTAAATTAAACAATGACAAAAAAAGTTGACCAACGTGTATCCTCAGAGATAGCTTACTGAGCAGCAGGTGCCCACTCACGGTACAAAATGCCATCTTCTTCTCTGTTAAATCCGAATTTCAAGTAACCTAAGATGTGGAAAAGGAAATGATAAGAAAACATTATATTAAAGATGTAACTAAAGTTAATACAATAAATTAGTAATTAGATAGAAATCAATCCAGTTGACAGGAAGATGACTTTATTTTCAAGATTTTGATGTGTCCAACATAATCAATCAATTGTGTTCACAGAAATTTCAAGTTATCACCGGTTTACTTGTGCAAGCCAGATGATTTAATAGGACTATCAACATCGGATACTGCCAAGTATTAGTTGAGGAACACTTCATCATTGTCGGTTTCTCATGGACATACAATTTGCCGTTACGTCCAAAATCTTAGCAGTTATTATCGAATTTCGTATACACATACATAGAAAAATTGAAACAACGTCAACTGTCAACAATTATAATCACCTTTGGCAAACTCCTGAAGACCTCCTTCATATTCTTCAATGAGCTTTTTCTGGTCTAGATATCTCTTCAGTCTATATTTGAAGTGATCTTTGAATGGTTCTAGGGATGAATCAACATTCAAGATGCCTATGTTTTCAAAGTCTTCTTCAACAGATGGCATTGTTGACTTATCATCTGTCATAATGGATACACCCTTGAAACCTGAACTCACCTAGTTGTGAAAAAACACGATGAAACAGCTTACTCACATGCAACATATTTACATAAGTAGATATTAGATAAACACATAGCAAACCAGTCAGACTAGACTCCAAGCGTTTTTTTTTTTTAGAAAACTAGATATCCGTCCTTGAGACAAACTAATCTAAAGGGACCAATCCCACCGTCCACTAGTGGGTGGCCCATTTAAAGTCAAGAATTGTTAGCACCTAACAAGATTTGAACCTGAGAACTTGTGAGGAGCATACTCTCAGGACTTAAGCCTTCACCAAGAGACCAATCTTTGGGGGTTTACTAGAGAGTCCAATTAGTGTCCAAGTGTTACATGTTATTTTCATCCATTTCCTTTGATCACTAGCAACTGTCTCGGACGAGACAAGTAGAAAAATGAGTGAAGTTTAACCAAAATATAGAATTACTAGCCCTTCAAAATCTTCTGTTGACACATACCCTAAATGAAGATGACTCACCCAAAACATGGAACTTACGCTTCATATTACAAAAGTTTGGCACTCAATATATACAACAAAAACAAAGCAATCTTAAAAAGTGATCCAATGACATATATAAAAGAAATAAAATACACCTTTTCATATATTGATCCTTTTGATCCAAAACTGCAGACCTTGCATCCATTTGGATTCTGATAACCAAGGGTGACTTCAACTGGCTTTTGCTTGGCCAGATACTGCTTATTTTTGGAGTTCTGCCATGAAAACAAATATAAAATCAGAAACCATTACAGATCCAAATTATGAACTCCAATGTTTGAGTTTTACTCTACTCTAAAAAATTTGAACATTAGCATTATCTATCTTATATTGATTTAGGGTTTATGGTAAGTAAAACTAAGCTGAGAAGCTATTGTTGCTATAAATATAGAAAGTTAAATGAAAAATTACGTGAGTGGTGGTGGTTGCAATGCTTAAAGAGGAAGAAACGAGAGCATTAAAAGCTAAAGATGAAATCATAGTTTTGATTCAGGTTGAAGCCGTGTCCATAATGATTAAGGAGAAGAGTGTTTTGAATTGATGAAGACTCGAATGTGACCCAGTTTCGTATGAATTAGAATTATTAATTTAATCATAAGCGTTTTTTCAATGGTAGAGTAGAAAGAAGGAACAGAGTAAAGAATATGCTTCCCCACGTGTAGAAGCAAGCAAGCAACGGCGCAACAATTTCCATCTGTCCCAATTGCAGTAGACTAGTATCTCACACTTCCCATTTTTTACTTGTTTACGGGCGTAGTGTATTAAATTTATGTAAAAGAAACACTATTTTTAACTTATATGCAAAACAATTTTGCACATGCATATGCAAAATCAGCTAATGATTTCCTAAGGAATGGGAAATTAGGAAGTCAAAATGAGAGCAGTTACTACTTTTTAGGTTCCTAAATTCTAGACACATGCACTTTTATAAAGGCCCTAATTTTAGGGTTGAGAATGATTGATATCATATCTCTTGTATTTTGATGATAACAAAGTATTTAACGAATAATTAGGTATTCTAACATCTATTCAAATATGCATGATTATAAGTCTAAGAATAGATGAAGAGAAGCCGAGGGATTATGAATTTGAAGTTCATACTCTAGTTCTGAATATCACTTATGAGACTCTGACTTTGGTGGAAGATCTAGACTTTAAACAAGTCAACATCTGAAGAAAATTAGTCTATGGTGATCTAGACTCTGAAGCTTCAGAAGGCAAGAAGCAAACTCTGAAGAGTGAAGTCTGAAGAAAGTCAATCTTTAAAGGTTGTCTAATCTCTTCAATCGAGTAACCTTTGACAAACTCATAGATCTTTTGTTCACGTGAAGAGTTAAGGAAAAATCTCTTGAGGATTAGAAGTATCTTGCTTGTGCGCTTGAGCATAAAAGTCTCTTACTTTAGGGTTTGAGCATTAGAAGTCTTTTGCTAGTGTGCTTGAGCATATAAGTTTCTTACTTCAGGGTTTAAGCATTAGAAGTATCTTGCTTGATGCTTGAGCATTTGTAATCTTGTTAGTTATAGTGAAAATCCCTTGGAAGCACAATGCGACTGGACTACTCTCAAGTTGTGAGAATAACCAAGATAAATGATGTGTGTCTTTGCTTTTACTTTCCTTGTTTATGATCTTATCAATATGTTGTTATCAACTTTCCAACTCTGAGTCAGATTCTGGTTCAAAATCTTATAAGGACTTTCAGAAGCAAACCTAGTGATTCTTAGTCAGACGCTAAACAAAGTGTTAAGAATCTGATTAAGATCAATCAGAAGCAGAAAGAGAAAAAGCTTAAGGGAGAAAAGCCAACACAATTTAACCTGATTCTTGTGTTTTTATCACCTTCAGTTGGCATCATAGGAAGGTCAATGCTAAACACTTAATAGTTGTCTAGAAAAAATCATGAGGAAAACACTTTGTTATCATGGATGGTCCTGAACCAACTATCACTAGTGATGGTAATCCTTTTGGTACTATCAGTCATGACTATAATACCTTTGAGAAAAACAATTATACAACTAGACCTCTAACTTTCAGTGGACACTCTACTGAGTTTGAATAGTGAAATAACAAGATGTATACTCATATCATAGGTCTTAATGATGAGTTATGGGATATTTTGGAAGATGACATTGATATTCAAGTCAATGGAGTTGAAATGGTGTCTGATAGAAAATCTCTCACACCTGCATAAAAAAACTTACAAAAAACATCATAGACTTAGAGGCATCTTGGTTGATGCCCTATCTTATTCTGAGTACATCAAAATCATTGATAAATCTACTGCTAAAACCATTTTTGAATCCATGCGTGCTACATATGAATAGAATCAACAAGTTAAGGAAGCTAAGTCTAACCTTCTGGTTCAATAATATGATTTGAATGTGATTAATATTGAGATTTGGAACACAATTGCATTATTGAAATGTCTTTAGAATATTTGTGTGAAAGTGGATAATTTATGGGTTAAGTGGATTCATGTCTACTACTTAAAAGATGTGGATGTGATGACTGCTGCTATTGGAAATACTAGTTCATGGATCCTGAAAAACATCATGAGCAGAAGGAATATTGTGAGCCAGGTTCAGTAGGTCTAGAAGGATATGATGGTGAACATGAAGTTTTCCACGAATAAGATGTATCTTCAACTGGTGGATGATTAGAGTATAGTGGATTGGAGTCACTTGATTAGGCACAACTATGCTTGCCCGTGTACAATTCTCACTTGTTAGTTAGCTTGTCATGGCCGGTTGGCTACTAAAACTAGGATAATGAAGTTGGGATTACTGCAAGATAGCATATGTAGTATCTGTAGACAGGAAGATGAGCCACAAGATCATATTTTGTTTGATTGCAGATTGTTGAAAGTTGTGTGGCATGATGTGCTCAAGTGGATGGATATCAATCATCAACCGCAGAAATGGAAATATGATATTGGTTGGATTTTGAGACACACTAAAGGAAAAGGTTGGAAAGTTGGTATTCTTAAGATGGCAGTTACAGAAGCTATTTATGGAGTGTGGCGCTATCGAAATGTCGTGATTTTTTATAAGAGTAGAGATAATACAAATGTTACTAGATATATCATAAGTAATATTGTGTATATAGGTTGGCAAAAGCCTAAGTATAGGGTTTATTTAGCTAAGTATTTTGATCGCGACTTTCTATGTCTAATACAATTTAACCGCAAGTGCACAGTCTATCGCGTAGTAATAAAAGATATCGATCCCACAGGGACTCGTAATCAAACTAGTGTTCTCAGGAGTTACTATGTTTAGCTAGGTAGATAATGTTCAAGGGAATAAGATTGTCACTAAAGGGAACTAAAAATGTTACTTAAATTATAATTACGTGAATCGATATGCAGTAATTATGTTCTTTGGGGATTTGACAAGTTACCGGTGTATGAAATATTTTTTCAGAATTTATTTAAGCAGAAAATAGTGATCTCAAGACTCTCTTCTCACGATGGTTGTTGACGCTAATCATAATTCTAAGGGCCAAATGTACGCTTTCGTGTCCCATTCGGGGTTAAAACTATTTTTTGGAAATCTCTAAGTTCTAATTCATTTTAAAGTGCTTTCGCTGTTATTAAAACAAATGACTAGTGTTTACTATCTGGTCTTGCCGCAACTTTCGCTTGTTGGTTCGTACCTTAATTAATTTCCCACTTTCGTGGCAAAACTACTTTTAAATAAGTTCTCGCTTTCGCGACGAAGTTTATTCAGTAAATAAATTTAAACACTCAGACCATAAACAACTTTTGAAAAGGAAAGTTTTCAACCGGTTATTATCAAATCCCGTCCGAATTATTATTACATATCGATTACTTTGATTTAGCTAGACATGGATTTGGGAAAGGTAAAACATAAATAAAAATAATGAATAATAACATGCATCATAATGAAAACTGAAATTACGATTAAAATTTAAAACCTGTAAATATTCCAATTGACCTTTGGGCAGATCCTCCACAAATGTTGGCAGGATTCTGGTCTTTGTGCCAATTGGTCGTACAAGGGAAATAGGAATTACAGAAGAAATGAAAGGAAACAAAAAATAGAAAGAAATAAAACTGAACTTTTGCTCTGGAAATGAAATTGGGCAGCACTTCGTTGTCTGAATGCGGCTCCCTTTCTCAGCTCCCCTCCTTCCCCTTCTATAGAAATAGAATTCTAACGGTTATAACTTGAAGAAGGTGGAATTAGAGGCAGAAATATCAGGGAGTAGTGGTCCACTATTTGGGACTTGGAACTGCCTCTTACACGTGCATTTGAAGTTGGGCGTTTTTGCCTGCATGACAGTCGTCACGGTGTGTGACGGTCGTCATGGAGCTGTGACGGTCGTCACAGCAGCAAAATATGCATTATGCGTTTTTCATGTTGTTTTCATCCGGTTTTCGTCCATATTTCATCCGTGATTACTTCTTTTCTTCATATTGCTTTGTTTAGACGTGATTATCAAATACCTGCAAAATATCAGACAAATAACACGGAAATAACCCGAAATCGGATCGAAAACAGTTAAACATCAGTTGAATTATACATCAATATATATATATACGATTTCGTGTTATCAAACTCCCCTAAGCTTGAATCTTTGCTTGTCCTCAAGTAAAACAGGAAAAAGTCGGCAAGCACGAGGCAACTTCTTCGTTCGCAAAGTTGGGAAAAACCGGGATTCTTAGTAAGAACAAAACGAGTACGGTGACGACACTGGACTACAAGTCTTCGGAGGTCTCTTTCTTATGCAAATCGGTCCCAGACATGCTACTGTAGCTTGGCGTCAAGGTTCTCGCGGCAAGTTCACCCTGTTTGTTCTAGCGCAATCACATTAAGCCCGTTGTCCATACACTTTCATGGCAAGTCGACCTGTTAGTGAATATGATCTCATTTCTGTTTTGATCTTTTTCATTGATCATAAGCTTATACCATTGATTTTTTTTCAATGAGTTTTCGTACCGTTGGGGTAAATGCTCGGGTGAGGAGCACCTAACTTAGAGGGAAATGCGTCTTTATATTTTGGCTAAATGGCTTTCTTTTCATGATTTTTCATTTTTTTGGAGATCATACACTTATTTGCATCGGTCGCTCGCTTAGAAGTGTTTTAGGATGGTGCTGACTGCTAGTATAAACTACTTGGGGCTGAGTTTGCGTAGACACTTGAAACTTTGGTACACGTAGGTAGTGAAACCCACTCGCATAAACCGGAGATCTAAGGTGTCAGGACGGTACTGGTTTTGTTAGAATTGTCGTCTCCTCGGAGTTTTAAAACTCGGTTTGAACTTGGGCGCATTCTCGTGATGCTTTTGCTTTTGAGGAACAAACGAAAATTTTTTGTTTACGTCGAATAAAGTGGGGATGTTTGCGTAACGGGAAAAAGATATATAAAAGAGCTTTTATTTTCTAAAACGTGAAAATATTTGAATAGAAGTTACGGAATTAAAAGTACAATGGAATGGGAAATAAACGCTCCGCTCCCACAC